TGTGTATACCCCACCAGGGTGAATTGTGTATACTCCACCAGGGTGAATTGTGTATACCTCAACAGGGTGAATTGTGTATACCTTACCAGGGTGACTTGTGTATACCCCACCAAGTGAATTGTGTATACCCCACCAGGGTGAATTGTGTATACCTCACCAGGGTGAATTGTGTATACCCCACCAGGGTGAATTGTGTATACCTCACCAGGGTGAATTGTGTATACCCCACCAGGGTGAATTGTGTATACCCCACCAGGGTGAATTGTGTATACCTCACCAGGGTGAATTGTGTATACCTCACCAGGGTGAATTGTGTATACCCCACCAGGGTGAATTGTGTATACCCCACCAGGGTGAATTGTGTATACCCCACCAAGTGAATTGTGTATACCTCACCAGGGTGAATTGTGTATACCTCACCAGGGTAAATTGTGTATACCCCACCAGGGTGAATTGTGAATACCTCACCACGGCGAATTGAGTATACTTCACCAGGGTGAATTGTGTTTAACTCTCCATGGTGCATCGTGTAAACTTCAAAATTTGACACACCGTGTAAACTTCGCTGAAGTATATATATCTCATCAAGGTCCATGTGTAGAGCTTAATGGTCACCATGTCCTGTAGTAACGTCCATGGTGCAGACCCTACTTTGGCAGGTGTCTCCATGGGAGCAATCATTCCATCCATGTTCAACTACGTGACCCAGCCTGTGTTATTTTTCTAAGACCAAAAAGACTTAACATACAATTTTCTTTTCAACTTTCCTCCTTCTACTATCTTAGTCATCTTAACTTAATATTTATTTATACCGAATAAACGTATATCATAATTGTTAATTAATTATGTATCCGGATTCTTATTCTGATGTAGTACGTTTTTTAAATTATAATTACAGTAGTGGTGTTTATTGTTTAACTCCATGCGTACAAACGCTAGCCCCGTCCTATCTCTCACACCGCCATCTACATTTAATTGTATGATATGAAGCCAGTTTTATTTAATTACTTCCCATTGTGTACTAGATTTGTGGTATTCAACAAACAACAGTTATTATCACATCTCAACAGTTCTAAGTTATACATGTTGTGCAGCTCATATACAACGCTTATACATATAATTGTTCATATACATACACGCTCTTCAGAACGAAAATAGCACAGATGACATGGTGACAAAGGGGCGATTATACATGACGTTTGTTGTTCGTCATACATCCATTCAAACGTTTACAAATCATTTGGATTCAAATCAGTATTATTGAATTCATATTGATTTTTCGAATGCAAATTTCTCGAATCAAGGCAAGTGATTTTTAAAAATTCTAATAGAAATGTTTGAATGAAACGACACTTTTAATTCAATATGAGGTAAAATATCTCTTTTTCGTCTCCCCCTCCCTCTTTTCTTTATAGTCTCCAGGGTGTAAACAAAGTTGTAATGCATCCCTTTAAACTCTATACCTGTATATATATATATATATATATATATATTGTCGTGTTATATTGGAGTGGTAACGTGCACATCATTTATTTGAAGGCCTGTATAGACCTTAAGTATTCTCGGAAGTACTGTTACATATACGCAAGTATGTAAGTACTGACATTCGATAGATAGGTGTCGTTACTATCTGTACACACATATATAAAGTGATATCTTAAGTCGCAAAATATCAATTAAATAGCGCAAACGAAATGAAAAAATCTGTTGATCACAAACCGTGTCGTGAATGAGATGACCAGTAAGTAAAAACCATAGACATACGTATGAAATAATGGTGTGTTTTTACACCTTTTTGTTAATAGGAATTTTTTGCTAACGATCTTTATCGATAAAGTAGAGATTCTTACGGATAAAGTAGCAACTCACGTGAATAAATTAGCGAATATTGTTGATTAACTAGCAATCCTTACGAAACAATTAGCAGTTCTTAAGGGAAAAATATCAGTCATTGTTGATAAATTAGCAATCCTTGAGGATAAGTTTGGAATTCCTTGTTGATGAACTGAAAATCCGTTTAAATTTTTAATCGATGTAGAGAAAATTAGATGTTCATGTGAAACAGAACCCAGCAGTCATAAAATGGAAATTTCTTATATCAAATCCAGTATGAAATGTATTTGTGATGTTTCCATGACTACGGTGTCACCTTCATTAGTCGAATGACCAGTGTGAAGCTTATTAGCAAAGAAATATGCAGTGGGCGAGTTGGTTATGAATCGACAGGACATATCGGCTGTACTATAATCTTGTGTACACAAAGATGGAAAATAGGGGTGACGAAAAGGAAATAAGATTATAGGAAAAACGGGTAGAATAATAGGTGATCTCCCGTACGTACTTGAGAATGTATTATCCATAGAAAGTCCCTAAAAGTTCGCGACGATTTTTATACATCTTGTACGACATGGAAACAATATTTAAGATTGTCTGTATACTTTTACCGGTATTTGTTAAAGTCATCTAATTGTTGTACTGTCGTAAAATTGTACATATTGAGGACATGAATCAATCTTGATGACAGATAAATGAGTCTGACGTCCATTGTCATCGACAATAAATAAATCTGACGTAAGTAAAACACACTAAAGTAATAGTGTATTTTATCTAATACGACGTGCAAAGCGTTGACGTAACGGAGGTCAACATGGCGGCAAAATGACGTCATATCATCGTTTTGTGATTTAGAATATATCAATGTACCGGAGAATGCAATGCACAAGAACATGGAGTTATTGGATGTCTTAATGCAAAATGTAAATATTGACAACATCATCACTCCATGTTTCTGTTTTTGATGACGTCATAATATATATGACGGCATGGTACTATAACGTCATAATATAACCAACTGGAATCATTAGCCAATTACTGTTCCGCTAGGTATTATCACGTAAGCGGTTATAACACAGTTAATATAATGTTATTTCACAGATATCATGGCAATTAAGTTCTGTTACCTGAATAAATAATGATTATATCAAATTAATAAATCTCACGAATCATTCACTAGATTGAACAACTGCTTATTGATTGGTTTTGTATAACAGTCAGTTGTATGTGGGTTTTATCGTTTATAGTAAACAACTAATTTGCTCTACACGGAAGTTCAGAGGGATGTCAAACAGTACATTGCCCATTTGACTATCTTTTTAAGAACTGTGTCTTGCACTACACTTTATCTATACAGAACAAACATACACTTATCACTAATCTATAGTGTTTCCCATTAATTCCGGGCCGTAATCTCTCCCTATTTAAACATTTATCACAACCAAAATCATTATACCTTGTTAGCTTACCACATTTTAATGTTGATATGATTCTAATCTATTATGACCGTCTCGTACATAGAATTTCACAAATACTTAAACCTGTGACAAATTTGTCTATAATACAAGTGTCCCTGTACATAGATTCTCACTTATCTATTTATATAAGTTTTGATAAATGTTAGATGTAAAACTATATGTGTGAGTTGAGTGTCACTTAGACAAATTGGTCCTGTTTCGTTCACTCCTTCCGCTGTGTGTAATAGAAATGTAATATGAGTAATCCTGTACTATACAACACTTAACCCGAATCCGTTCTAGGAAAAATACACACTCTGGTAATGATATATTCCTATATTTTTGCTGTTTTCAGCAGTATATTTTTGCTGTTTGAAATGATATTGAACAATATAACAAAAAAAAAAGGTATTTAAATAAGCGATTTGATATTTTGTAATGAACAAGATTATTTACGAAAATTAATAAAATCTCTGTCATATCCGTTGAAGTGTGGAACTATATTTCTGCGCGGAGCAATTATTTTGACGTGCGTCATCAGACAAAATTCAGCTAGCGCCAATGTCAGGTAAACAAAGATTGCAGGACAAAACTGATGAAGTTTTGATGGTCTGAATATCAGTAAATATTGCAGGAGATATAGAAAACATTGTCAGTGTCTTGAAATATAAGCTGCATTTTAGCAAGGGTTAAAATGACAGAAGTGACAAGCGACTTTTGTCTTTCTTCAACCTCGCCAAAATACAGCTTATATATTTAATACTCTGACCATGTACTCTCTGTATAGTCACAGTTTCCGTTGTACATCAGTAATATCATTCTCTCGCACGAGTAGAGAACGTTATCGTATGAATTTATCACATTTGAAATATCTTTGTGATTAGTCATTTTCATCATTTTTTGGTGAAAAATATTAAGGTTCATTTTGATCTGAGTGAAATGAAAGTTTGCATTATTTATTGAGAAAATGATTCATTAATAATGTGAAGTAAACAAAGATTATTGTTCAATTTGTTCAGGAGAAGAAGATTTTCTTGTTTGATAGTTTGTTTGCTTTTGTTTTCTATTATATCTTTAAACTTTGGAATGGATGAAAATTGCAGGGTAATAAAGCAGTTAAAATTGTAAATATCAGGGGATAGCTACAAATTGAACTCTTCATTTTTACATAATAAAGTTTCGCCAGTTATTCAATGTACCGCGGATGATTTTGATGTGTCATCTATAAAGTTAAATACTAGTCATATTATAGTTAAGATTACAAAATACCAGCAATTAATCTGTACATGTATTTAAAACCATCCAATACCTGTATATAGAGGCTCTAGTTAGGTTGGAATTAGTTATAGCAATAATTTGTAGGGCCACAGACCATTAGACAATTAAATCATTATAAATATATACAAAGCGTATTTCCTTCCTCACTTAAAGCTTCAGATAACTATTCACGATACACAAAAAGATTGTTTTTTATCATATTTATATCCGTGTATTTTGTGTAATGAAGTAGCGCACAAGTGAATTAACATTATTGTGCTATTTAGATGAAATACGATATGTTTATATCCGGAAACGATACTCTGTTTATATTTTATATCGTAAATAAAGCAGAAAATTCTGAGGTCGTCAAATATATAAGAACGAGAGAGTTGTTTTATTTAGGTGATATTTACACCTTTGATTGAATAATTAAATTTCATTTCTTTTCAGATATGGCTTCCCACAGCAGAAACGGTAGGTACAATGTGTTTTCTCTCTTGACAGATTTTTCAAACAAAGTAGCTTACCACCAGATGATGTAAACATCACTCACGATGGTTTTGATATTTATTTCACAGTGGCATTATATATGTCTGTTGTTTTACATCCGGCCACAGACCGAGTAAATATATTGTAAAATTATAAAACGTGATAGTATATATACTTGTCTATTGTACCATTTAATTAGTAGGTCAACTTTTGTTTCAGTACAAAATGAGATTTACTTATGTCATAATTAAGCGCCTCAGTGATAATGAATCTAGAGTTCAGAAATCGACATGAATTTGTTCCACTGTGTAGCTGACACTGTCGGTGCATTTGTCAATGTCCCCGATTAATCATAGTGCTCTGCAATAGTCGTCCTACTTCCGGAATAAGTGTTTCACAACTAGTGTTCGTCCATTATGCTTTTTCCGACCCAAGTAGTTAATTATTTACCGTCCAGTTATCAGTTGTGATTTTAGTGTATTATTGAGAATTTGATTCTATTTTTGACAGAGAATGGAGATTTTGAGCAGACTTTATTAAATGAAGGGGTCAGTCAATCTACGTTAGAAAGACTGCGGAAAGAGGCTATTACAGACTGGTCAACACTGACCATTCTCACCCCTGAGGATATCTCCGAATTAGGACTTCCGGTCGGCCAGAAAGCTATCGTGAGGAAATTGATTCAACGAAAACCACCGGATAATAATGGGCAAACCACTAGAGGTCTGCAAGTCAGGTCAAATTTCCACGACAAAGGTAGTAATTTCATGTTTCCTTCTCAAACAACATACAGTGATACAAGTCATCTTTATCATCTCACTGGGGATACACTATTTCCTCGTGGGTTGTGTAGTGTGTGGTGTGAACTAGGATGTACTCTATGCTTGTTAGGCATTACCGGATGTTCGTTTTTAACAAACCCGATTCTCATTTAAGGAACGTGAAATTACTAGATTTACAAAGGTGCTCGTCAATGAAACAAACATGGTTGACATTCCTGAACATATGGTTGTTGATTTGTCAAGAAAATCCGTTTTAACTATTTCCCTTCGTTTATATATTTTCTTTCTATTGATCTGTTTCTAGTTTTAATTGTGCTTTAAAGATCTGATAAAATAACGATTTTCTGTTGATTTTAGAACGAGAAGCTGTCCTTTCAGAAACTGCGACTGAATACGCGGGAGCGAACACCTTCTCAAGAGGTGAGTGTTTTCTTTATTTAGACTATCACCATAGCAACCGTCTCATCTTTGTTGACCTTGTGCACGTGCCTGCATCCATCGTCATCTCTGCGATCTGATGATCTGTAACACAAGTCATAATTTAGTCTATTATTGTGATTGTGTTTTTTACGAAATGTTAGCGGGTCCGCTTGATATTGAAACTATGTCTCATTAGTGGGGAAGACACGCTTTGTTCTTATCTCTTTTCTCATTAACGACTCCCTTTTTATCAACAGTATGTCTAAATGTTGGTTTGTTGATGAGGGTCACACACGTAGAATGTCTTGTAATCGTGTATTGAATGTTTAAATGATGGTGTTATAGTTTGACATAGGAAGCCAAAAAGGGAAACAAAATATCGATGCTACATGTATGTCTTAATGACATTGTATCAATGACGAGAGATAACAGTGAGGGAAATAGTTAAGAAATAAAACATGCCCGAGGTGTTTTTAAAAAATAGTTAAAGATGAATGTACTGAATCGCGTGATTTGAGATGCATTGCAATTAAAAATGATTTAAAACATGTCCTTGAAACAGCCCTTATTAAACGGCAAATTATTTCTGTTTACGTCAAATGTTCTAGTTTGTGAATGTATTGATATTTTCTTGTGATATTCAAAGAATGTCAAATAATTTATCTGGATTTACACAAATGTTGAGCAAGGATAAAACGCTGTTTATATGGGTCCTTTTGATGGATCCAATATAAACAAGGAAGGTCCATATCTTTGCGGTCAACAAGTAATCTAAACACAAATGTTGTAGTGAAGTTCGAATGTATAATGTGTAGGTAAGGTGTCATTGGTTACAGAGCATCCCTCGTTCTTTTTTAAGCTTGAAGTGTTTGCAGATAAGAATCAAGATGTTTAATGCCTGATCTATACAATACATATATATATATATATATATATATATATGTGTGTGTGTGTGTGTGTGTGTGTGTGTGTGTGTGTGTGTGTGTGTGTGTGTGTGTGTGTAAATATACAATATTTATTAAGTAAATCGCTTAATGTATTCTTGACATTGGCATTAAGGAACACAGACTTGTGCTTTCAGTTTAATATTTAAGCTGGTTATTACTATAAGTTTGATGGATTGAAAATTCAGTTTCATTGTGAATCACAGACGTGTCCACGTACCGACCCCTTTTTAATAGGCATTGTTTGACTTAGAATAAACAGGTATCATATAACTCACATTCCAGTTAACGGAACAATTGATATTGTGACATCCTGAATGAAGAGATTGATTGTTTTTATCTAACATCCTTGACAAGGGTAAGAGAAAAAGTGTTTATTTCCTTGTTGATAAGTAACAAGTACAGCTTTTTATTTAATGACACTCTCAGGGTCAGTAGCTATAATGTTTCACATCTCATCATCTATAATTGTATTAAGTCTTCACTCCTATGTTCGTTTAATATACTGACGATGCTCATGTAAATCTGATTATAGATTGCTCAACAAAGGTACACAAATAAAAAAACAACTTTAAACACATGTCCTAACTGTAGCGATGATTATCATTGGTAGTCGCCGCGACACACTATTGTTTACCTACAGATCATGCGCAATCAGTCCCATCTCATCAATGACGGGAACAGATACACCGAAATTAAACGTGTGTCAACAATTAAGGATCCAAGTATTATTTGGTTCATTTAGTGTTGTTTCTGGGCAAATTGCATAGCTTATCAATGAATGTTGAATATATTGCTCCACCCCCTTCCACTCTAAAAAAAACCTACACAAAACAAAACAAAATAAAAAAATCAAAACAATAAACAAACAAGCAAAACAAAAAGCAAACGAAAACAAAATTTCTAACGTGATCTTCATGAACTGGATGTCTTTGGGTGCAGTCCCCAAGTCGAGACATACCAAAGTCATTTAGGTACCATGCTACCGTATCTAGGTAAGACATTGCAGTGTGATGACGCTATAAAAAGTGTGGTCTTATCACTGTTTTTTTACCCCAAACCGACGCAACCACACAATTTCAGAGCTGAATGTCAACATGATAAAGGTCATTATTTTCCTGTCTCCTCTTCCTTCCAATCTTTCAAACAAAATGCAAGTGAATCCAATTTTAACGACAATTCCCGCCATATGTACACACGGTACCAGTGCATGTATTCCTGTCTAGGTGTATCCAAAGATAATCTCTGATTTATCAACAGACAATGATGACGAAGAAGATTATGAGGACGCCTTTACTGTTGCTACTCGTAAGTTTAGGAAATAAAAGGCACTCTAGCCACATGTACTCAGTAAATCTTTACCGAAGTATATCATGATGTAAAGTTAGCAACTGTACTCAGAATGTCACTTTTATAACGGCGATATATATATACGTACATCACTCTGTACTCAAACTCAGATACTATTTATATAAAAATGTAATTTCATAACAGATATACATTTGAAAACCACTGCATTTTCGCTGGTCTGAAATTAAATGTCTTACATATAGCGTTCTACCACAAACAGTATTTGTATTTATCAATATTTTTTATAAACAAAACCGTACTCACTTTAAAGTCAACTTCTCTATACATAATTAAGATAATATGCGAATAAGTAATTTTAAAATCTTAGTTATGTAAATTAATTTCTGTCTATACCCATTCTTATATATTAATATCTTCTGAACTCCGATAATTGGTTTAGAGCAAATGTTTTCAATAAAGCAATTGTGTATTTAATTTGATACTTTTTTGAGTTTTGAAAGGCATTTCTCTCTCTAATCTGTTGACACTTGTCCCTTTGTCAATTGTCTATGTCCTTATTAGGGCTTAGAGGAGATCTATTGTATTTGGTATGTTTCTTCTTGTTAATTTTCTTCCGAATTTGTGCGTTCGTAATTGTTTAAACGGTAAGGGATAGACACGCAACCTATACAGTATGTCATGGAAGTACATATGAACTTGATAATACCGCATTTTTAAGTAGGTCAAAAATCCAATATGGCCGCCATGACCCAATTACCATAAATTGTTAAAACAACAGTAACTCTAAAACTGTTTGTCCTACAAATTTGCTGCAAAATATTTTATGTAGAGGATGGTCATATCTTACCTTTTTTCTTACATGTTAATAGAAATTCTTTCAAATGGAAAAGCTTGTCAAGGGGTCAAGGTCACCTAAAATTAGAAAAAAAATTACACCCCCCCCCCATATTTTAATGCAGAATGTCAATCTGATCATTTAAGTGTCTATATTTTCTTCTGTAACATCTTTCTCTAACGTTTCATGCCATTTAAAAAAATCCCATAGTACAATGTAAAGACAGAAAGTTTGAACTAAAAACGTTCCAAGATCCCACGGTGAAATTTTGTTTACTTGTTATAGACTAGGTTTGTTAACGTGCCCTCTAAATTCTGACGTGATTTTCAACTTGTCGAAAAACAAAATGGCCGTCATTGCTCCTAATTTGATTTTGCCATGACGTCAATATTTCAATAATGACATAATATTTTGAAATCATGTTTGGCTCTTCTCATAGGACATTTTTGTGTAAAACGTCAACTTCCGGTTTTAGGTAGGGTCAAGGTTCAAAATTGTAATTAAGAGTACCAAACTTCCAGAAACTTAGAGATTTGGAAGTTCACACATATATTGCTAAGGTCTATTAAGTTTGTTAATATGGATGACCTTGACCCACTTTCTAGCTCATGGGGGTCAATTATATTAATATGATCAAATGACGGTTTCAACAACCTTCTGCAGAGACTTGATTTTGATTGGAATAAGCAAAGCAAAACAAAAAAACAAGACCAACTTCCTGTTTCCCTTAGGTGTCAAAGTTCGAAACTTCAATGTAGGGTACCAATGTATATGAAACTTCTTCCCAAGTTTGGAAGGACCTATAGCCTTGATATCTAAAAGATATTAAGTTGATATAATTGTCCATCATTGTTGTTAATATAGATGACCTTGACCGACTTTCAAGGTCACAGGGGTCAATTATATTAATATCATTTAATGATATTTTCTTACTATTTAAGTGGAAAACATTTACGTGATGTGGTCAACAACCGTCTGCGGACACTTGCGTTTGATTGGTTTTAGCACAACTCCAACAAAAAACCAACTTCCGGTTTTCCATAAGGGTCAAAGTTCAAAACTTTAATATAGGGTACCAACGTAAACGAAACTTCTTCTGAAGTTTGAAAAGACATAGAGGTTCGATACATCACAACTATAATGATAAGATAATTATCTATTAAGTTTGTAAATACGAATGACCTTGACACACTTTGTAGGTCACGGGGGTCAATTATATTTATATCATTAAATGAAGTTTTCTTACTTTTTAAAAGGTAAACAATTACGTGATGTGATTAACCACATTCTGTAGTGACGTCCTTTTGATTGGTTGTAGCAAAACTTCAACAAAGACCAACTTCCGGTTTTCCTTAGGGGTAAAAATTAAAAACTTCCATGTAGGGTATCAACATATACGAAATTTCCTCTGAAGTTTGGAAAGGCCTTGAGGTTCGATACGTCAGAAATATAATGATAAGGTAATTGTCCATTAGATTTCACCCACTTTCAAGGTCAAAGGCTTCAACCATGTAAAAATCAATTCAAAAAGTATTCAATTTCATATTTCTAGAGGTAAACAATTGTGAAATTTCCTTAAAAACCCACTGTGGTCCTGTGGACACTTACTATTGATAACAATAAGTAATGTTTTCCAAAATTTCAGCTTCTATTTTTTTGTACAGTTCAAAATTAACGTTATGCAACATTATTTTGGAAAACAGTACACTCAGTACTTTGATCTCTTACTATTGATGATTCCTTTGTACTTTGATTTCATACAGGGAGCCAATGTATTGCAGGCATTGCCTTTAAGCACAGAACAAAATAGGTGAAAAACCAGTTAAAATTGTCTATGACAATTTCTAGTAGTCTTTGTGTTTGTCTGTCTGCATATCTTGCTCAATTTGACATTTCCTGCCTCTCTGCAC